TAGGACAGGAAGCAGACGCAAATGGGATTTGTGGGGGGGGGGGGATGTCCAAGATAATACGATTTTTAGGGCATTAAATGCAGTGCCTGGAGATGTTTGAGCTTCTGAAGCAGCACATATGTGTGTTGGGGGTATTTTGGCTTTCCACACAAAGATCTGCAGTTGGCTTTAGTATTTTGCTGCAGCAAGAGGCACAAGAAAGGTGCAGTTGATCTTGAGTTTGCTGCACTTTTTTCCTTCGGTGAGTCATTCCACCCCTCCCCATTGTCATCCCTCACACACATCCCACCCCCCACTCTAGCTCAGAGCAGAGGTCGTTCCAGTCTTTGCTTGCCAGCAACAGGGTATCCTTTTTCTTTTTTCTTTCTTTTTTCCTCCCACCTCTTGGTGCTGCTGCTGCTGCTGCTGCTGCTAGAGAGTCTGCCCAGAGATACCGGCGTGGTGGGCGTGGTGCAGTCCGCAGTGCGGTCCCTATGGCAGCCCATAGCTGACAAAGGGCGTCTATACAGTCAAGGAGAAAAAGAATCCATTCAAGATCCATTTGCAAACTGTCTGCCTTTGCTCCCTGAAAATTGAAGGGAAAAGGGCTTCAGAGTGCTCTGGTGCTGCTATATGGGCCACTTCTGATCAGAAATACAGCGGCTTTTGTTTCTAACTTTTGGCCATAAGTGGTTTGGAATCTTTTCCTCAAGCTTTCTGAGCATACTGGAGATTTTAGAGAGATATTTCAAGACAAATTACATGCAGAAATTATAATTCTACAATAACGAGCACTTTGTTAGATCTTACTATTGCTCAGCTACAGATTATTACAGCTTTTTTACGAAGTCGTAGTAAATTGAGGAAAGTAATTCTGCAGTACAAGTAGAATAAAATGGTATGTATTTTGAGTATCAGAACTGGTTATATTCATAGACATTAGGCAAATTTTCTCTCTGATTACTGCTTTCCTTGGAAAAGGAAAGCAAAGATTTCAGCCTTTGTCAGAAACCCTTAGACAATATCTTGGCTACATGTAGGTGTGGTTCATAATTACTTTGGGATTTGTTCTTGATTTTATATTCTAGTGAAATTACACTATATATTGGCAGTACTAAAAGTTGCTGGGAATGATCTTTGGTTATATTTTTTCCAGCTATACCTAAAGTTTTAGATTAAGTCTGAATTTGCTGCATTTTCATTAATAATTTAATAATATTAAGGCACTTGATGTCAGTTTTTCCTTCAAGAAAAGAAACAGAATTCTTAAGCCTGAAGTTCCCGCATTGATTTTCGGTGGGTTCCCCCCCTCCCTTATTGTATAGTTTGATTGTAGCATTCTTGATACTGGATTCTGAACAGAAAATGATGATACTTATAGAAATTCAGGGGATTGCGCATGTTAGTGGTTTAAATCTTGATTAGAAAGTCTAGAGATTTCTTTGTTAAAATACACAGGAGGTTGATTAAATCAATGTCTATTTTTTTGGAATGGAGGGAATATGAGCAGTTGCTTATCTCTGGAATAAGGCATTTGCAGCAAGGCCTTCATGATTTCATGAATCTGCACTCTCGGTTTTGGCCCTTGGACACCACCCTGGAAGATGCTGAATTAATATGAATCACTGCAGAGAAATCTGAGAGCCTATAATGTATGGATGACGTAGTAAAAGGTTATCTTGAATAAATTGAAAAACGTTTTCTTTTTTTAAAATATTACCAAAAGGTAATATTTAAAAAGGTTACAGCTATATTTAGTGATTTTACAAAATCAACTACAATATTTTTTTTCATATATCCATTATTTTTTTTCCAGTACTTTAAGACCTATGGAAAATTCAACAATTGTGAGTCTGCCCAGATTGCTGATAAAGACCTGACTGACAGAAATGATTGATGGACCTGATTTTGTTTTTTCAGAAGGAAATAAAAACAATCCTTTTTCACTAAACTGTTTATTAATCACTCATGTTAATATATAATGTCAACCTTTCTACTTTTACAGTATAGAATTCTGTGTTATGACTGTGTCAGAAGTGCTGACTCACGGACCTCTATTGTGCAGGGTGACTTGACAGTGGATCATTAATAGGCTTCCATATTTAATTTTAAAACAATGGTTCTGACAGTTTGCCTTTTGAGAACTGTATGATATACAGCTTTTTTAAAAAAATCATTCTTGCAAAAGCCAGTATTCTAAAAATAAATGAATTTGGTTACCAAATGCTCAATAGCATCTTCCTAACTTGGTGCCCTCCAAAGGATTATGAGATTTGATATAAAGCAATCTTTCAGAAATGTCCAACTAAAGCATTCATTTACAAGAACCAGTGCACCTCTAATATACAAACTGAAAAGATCTGAGTTCTATCATATTCATATGAATGATCCTGAATATGTTATCTGTATGTTTCTCATTCTGAAACATTTTTGTTAACTGGATCCCATAAAATATGAACACTTACAAACTGTTTGTATACCTGGAAATGATACGAAATGTATTAAGAAATAAAAGTAAGATATAAAACAGATACCAAACTTGAATATCCTAAAATAATAACTGTAGCAGGTCAGACGAATTTTCTATATATCCTCTAGAGGAGCTGTTAATAAGATATCCTCCAAACTGTTTTCAGGCTCTCTGTACTATTTAGATCAGCCTGGTTTTGTATTAGGGATTTGAAGTCATGCACTCCAGACAGGAAAAAATGGTTTAAGGATATGATAAATGCACTGAGTGCAGGAAATTCTAGGTTTATTTTCCAGACAAACCCATGTGATCTAGAGATTCATGCTATAGGTGTGGGATTAACCTTTGGAATTTATTAGATAAGAACTGTCATCTCCAGTAAAAAAATATAGTTTCCCCATGATGGGAAAATCCCCTACCAGAAAGTGTTGCTTGTCACAATAGACAATAAATTCTGCCACTATATAGAACAACATTTTACATTCCTAATCAATACTGACATTGCTTTATGTCAAGTCAGACCTTTTGTGGAAATTTGGCAGAGATTTACTAATGATGTCATAGTTGAAATGAAGAAAGCTGAAGTAGGAATCAATCTTCTTTAGGCTTTGATTTTTTTTTGTGTGTGTGTGCCATTATTGAATTTCAGGGGTTCCATTAAAAGCAGGATAAAAGCAAATTCTGATTGATTTAGCACATTGATATGGATTCCCTTTTGGAAATTTTCAAAAGGCACACTTCTGAAATAGTACACTCAGTGCATTCAGTAGATTAAGAGATTATTTAATTTGACTGACTTTATTAAACAAAATTTTTAAAAAGTATGCCAAACTAATGTTTCTATTTTTTTCAATAGTTCAAAGTAATTGGAATGAAATAACACAATTTGGGGGGAAATAACATGGTTTAATTACTTTATTTAACATTTATTTATAAAATATTTTTATTTTTGTTGGAATACAGCAAAAGCAAAGATTGACAACTCAGCAGATATGCTTATGAAACACTGTAGACTGTTGACATGCTAATTTTGGCATGACCATATGGCTTTGTTAAGTAGGGGATTTGAATGCTATGTGGATGTCCTTCCTGGACTAACCTTACTTTGAATAGTCCCAGTTCAGTAGGTGTTAGCTGCATCCAATCTCATGGAGGGCATCCTTTGCTCACATGACAGGACTTTCTCTTCTCACCTCTGAACCCCTCAAGTCTCCAGATTGCTTCTTCGGGTTGATGACTCCCAGTGTCTGGAGCAGATATAAGGGGCACACGAGACACTGCTCCATCAGTAGATGAGCTTATGATTGGGTTTATTTATATCCATTCATTACATTGCTCACTTTATTTGGAAAATAGTCTTTATTATAAATATACTAAGCCTGACAATAAGCCTGTCAATAAAACTGTTTGGCACAATCAGTATATTTCAAATTTCATTTAACCATTTAATTCATATGATGAAATCTATAACACAATTAATGAATTACATGTATATATTACCTGACAAGTCTCATATATTTAATACATTCTTTGGATAAAATTTCTGTAGTAAAGGAACCATTTTTTTTTTAAATGTCTAAAAGGCAGAAGGAACAATTATGAATGTTATAATTATTGCCAATACCAAAACAACTTTGGAGCCATTCTCTTCCACTGCATCTTATAATAATTAGCATTCCAAAAATTAAATTCTGGAGATGGAATTAAATGCTTGAATTTAAAATTCTCTTTGCAGAACAGGTTTGCTTAATTTTCTAGGCCGATTTGTATAACTGTTTCTAAGTTGTCTGTAAACAAATCTGTTTAGGAATAATTTATGATCAAATCTCAACCCTAAAATATTGAGTATGTTTTGCTAAAGATGCTGTCAGCTCTCCAAGGTAGACCAGACTAGGAAACCAAAGTCACATTGTAAAGTTATAGTAACAGAACCTTGTAAGTCTGAATGTACTTCCCCCTCCCTCCCTTTATCTTCATGAAAACTAGGGAGGGTCTTGCCTCAGACACTTAATTGGGTTACAGATCTGCCCTGGACTCAAATTCTTTTATCTGACCATTGTCTTGGTTGCAGGTCTTCCTCCTGTTCTTCAAGGTTATTCCTTCTTCCCATTACAGATCCTGAAAAAGCAGTGGTGGTTTTCTGACCCCATTGAAACTCCTCCTGCAGGGATATACAACCTGAGGCTCCCAAGATCCTTGGGTTTGGCCCTCAGAGCTCTTCCAAAGTTACTATCAAAATTTTAAATGCAACAGAAGGAAAAAAAATTGGGAAGCAACTATATAAACTGTAATTTCATTTAGTTAGTCAATTTCAATTCAATTCAATGAGGTCAAATGAAATTTTTGTTCTATCCTATCTACTTTTGGGAGGGCAGCCCACCGCACCCCGCATAGACCACTCAAAGGCCAAATACAGCCCCAGCCAGAAAAATATTATACAGGCCTATCCTCCTGCTATTACTGTGCTGTTGGTGGTTCCTTCCCTTTTAATTACCTGATACCTGCTGTTCAGGTCCAGAGTATAAATGTTACGTGCATACAGGCTTGCAGATGAATTCACTTTCTGTTATTGGCAGAGCCAATAAAATGGATGGGGAGGGGGGAAGCAGATGACCTTTTTAAAAACTGATCCAGTTAATCTAGACTTGCTTCAAAATATTTGCATTTATTTTGCTTGTAAGCTTTTTAAAACAAACATTATTTTAATAATTATCAATGATTACATGCATGTAATATTTTGTACCTGTATCATGTAAACAAATAATATTCTTTTAAATTATAATACCTTGCTGTAAAAAGCTCCAGTGTAACACATTGAATTGTGTTTACTACTATTTAAGTAGAAATATAAACTCAGAATTTTCAAGACTTTAAAAGGAAGCATCAATATATCTTCTTGGCTCGGCTCCCATATTTAGTTTCATTTATATCAGCCCTGCTGATTGTAAGCTGGGAATCCATAATATTGCTAGATTTATTAGTGTATAGAAAATCCGCTGAATAATGTTGTGTGCTGGATACAGTAAGTTGACACAGGCTAAAGGGTGTGGTCAGGACAACTGTACCTTTGGGTTGAGTGAAGCAGTTACCTCAGGCAGAAGGCTTTATGTGGGTCATGTAAAGGCAGCAAATGGTTAGTTATTTAATTGGTTATATTATTACTCGCAGATATGAGGAAAGGGCCTGTGGCCTTTTCTGCTTTATGTACCTAAATAACGTAACTGGCCCTGGGTACTATGCATCTTAACCTTATGCAGAAAACAAAACAACATCTGTATCCCATTCTTCTCTCTTAATCCAGCCTATCTCAAAAGGTGGTTGTTTTGGGGTTAAAAATGGAGAGAATGCTATGTATTCTGTTCTGAGATCCTGGGGAAAGGAAGGGGGTTGGTGGAATCCAAGAATTAATAAATAAATAGGCACCATGGCTGGCTGGATTAAAAGTTGATGGTTTGTGAGAGGCTGCCATAAAGTTAATATTCATCTCTATAGATGAGATAGAGAAAAGTGAGGCAATACAAGGCAAATGTAAGGTTAAATGAGAAGAGACCAGTGTTACCTGATGGGACAGTTTGCTGAGACCAGATAAACGGGTTTTATAGAGCTGGTGCTTTCTATTGGTGCAAATACATGGACTCCTTTAAGACAATGGTGAGAGATGAAGAGGATCGTTGTTGAACAATACTGCCTACCTCCATCATACAGAGATTAATACAGCTGTTGGTGGAAGGCCCTGAGTGATAGTAGTACTGAGGTATGGAAGGCGAGCTGTCAGAGCCCTGCGTGCTTCCTTAGAAAATAAGAAAGATGGGCATTTTTGTGCCTGCTTACCACAAAAAGGGCAAACTTCTCCAGGGAGGAGCATCTTGTGGAGAAGGTGGCAGGTAGCGTTCTGATCAGTGGTGCTTTGTAACAGGTTATGACTCCCAGGGTAGCTGTTTGGTAATTGGGCAGGATCACAACATGTTTTTGAAATTCCAAGTAAACATATCTGCACAAAAAGTTTTGGTATATACTGTATGTATAAGCTGTGCACATAAATCTGAGCAGCACACTGATGAGTGCCGGTTCTGGGGGACAATCCTGGTCACTGCTGTCAAAGTGTTTGTCCTGAGCTGAAAGAGGTTCCCATCTTTATCCTACTACCACCACCCCTCCAAATTTTATATCAGTCTTTCCTGGCTCAGTTCTTTCACTCATTTTCATTTGTGGAGAGGATTTCTTCATTTTTGTTTCTTTGTGTTGTTTGTAGTTGTTGTAGTGATGCATATTCTGTGATTGTAATGATGTAGATTATTATTTTAATCTTTGTTACTTTTTGTAATGTGGTTGAGTGCCGCTGTAAGGAGAAGGAATCCTAGTTTTCAAATGCACACATGAATTCATAATAAGAATTTGGAGCAAGTGTTTTTTACAAGAGCATATAACAGTTATGTATTTTTATAGCATGTTGCAAATTGGTTGGCTACATCAGCCTTTTGTAAATCCCACATTGGCATCCCATAATCTTGCTCTCTAACAATAACACTAGTAAAAAAAGGTGGCCTTGCTGGGACTGGAGTTCTAAATAAAATCAATAACTAACGTACTAAGATATATTGGAGTCTGAGAGTTAAAGGATTGAATTGGAAAAGGGGAATTAGAAAACTGATTTAAAAAACATCATATTTTAGAGCAGAGAGTTGGCAGCTTTATTTTGAAAAATAAAATCTAAATGTATCCACACCTAAAGAAAATCTGAGAGTGACTAAGGTGTTGGACTAGGGGACCCACATTCAAACCTGTCTTCAGGCACTGAATTTAATTACTGTATTTATTTATTAAAAAGACTCATATAGCTTCCCATCTTATGCACTAGATGTCTTACAAACAACAATAAAAACAGTAAAAAGCATAAAAACCATCACAGAAACTCTGAGCACTCCCAAAAGTACACACACACACACACACACACACACACACAGCATCCACATACAACTTTACTGGGTCCACCCTCACTCTATCCCAACGCTTGTAGGAAAAGCCTAGTAATTTTGGGCTGGTCTATCAGCCTAACCTACCTTGTGGGGGAAATTGGAGGAAGTATGCTAAGATTGCCAACTTGAGCTCCTGGAGGTAAATGGGGAAAGAAAGCCAACAATAATAATTAATACTTCTGTACTTATCCCTGACCAAATGTTTATTTTGTTTTGATGTCTAGGTATCCGATCATGGGACACAAACCTCATTGAATGCAACTTGGATCAAGAACTTAAACTTTTTGTGTCTCGCCATTCAGCTCGATTCTCTCCTGATGTGAGAGGTGAGGCTTATTTTTCTCTTATTGCCTGTATATGGTATAGATTAATTTAAAACACTGTGGCACAGTAGGTTTCTATGAGATCAGAGTAGGTTATAATTCCTTTTATATCACAAAAGCTCTTGGATCTTGGCTTCAAAAATGTGTAGATATTACTAGCAATGAATTACTATTTTGTTACTTTTCTATGTCCAGTCTTAATTTTAAGCAAAGTTTGTATGTCTCCTATATAAAGGGTTACGTATTTATCCAGATCAGATGCTCAAGTTAAATAAACTGCTTCTCAAGTCCTTGCACATATCCAACGTGTTCAAAGTCTAATGTGCGCTGACGTATTATACAATCATATCAAAACATACAGAAATCATTCTTCTTTTAGGAAGGATTCAGAGAGGATTTTACTGAATAAAGTTTTCTTAGCATAATCACAGCAGAATGCGGTGATAGTAATGGGGCATCCTATTTTAGATTTGAGTGGGCAAACTTTTAGTAGCTGGAAGCCTCACTTAAAATTGGGGTTGGTGAAGACAGCAGTGAGTGGGAGGTAATATAAAATGAGTGAGGTTAGGATTATCTCTTTTTCCTGAGTTTAAGGAGAGGCTTTGTTAATTAATGGGAACTTAGCGTATTCTAGGTTTACACTATAATTTTCATGGTTTTGTGCCTCAGTGTTCAGAAAAAAATACGGCAGACAGCCTCTGAGGTTTCAGGTTTTCAGTTTGATAAGAATATTCCAGTTTTCATTGTAGATAAAAATAAATTTTGGAATAAAATTCTCCCACCATTTATTAAAATTTGGGGAAAGGAGGGACTGAAGTCTGCAGTGATTCAGTCCACTCTGCCACCTTGTTGTATTGCATGTACAGCCTCAGCTTTATACTGCTAGGTCTTTATTCAGGTACAGAATCAACACAGAATTCAATGGTGGGAGAAAACATCAGCTTCCGGCTCTAATGGCTGGAGATGCTGGCTCTTACAATGCAACATCTCTAGAGGTATGAGATTAGGGAAAGCCTGCATACCTCTTTGCCTCTCAAGAAAGAATGTATGTGGTGGCAGAGTCATTTTTAGGATAAGATCATTAGAGACATAGACTTGATCCAAAATACTTGGCCTCTGCATAATGGGAATTCAGGGTACACAGATGTAAATATAATACGTCTGCTGTAGATCCCACATTAGTTATATTAAACTTTACCTGATACAGAAGAAAACACAGAAGCTTCCTGAGATACAACTCTCTTGGAATATATCTAAGATTCCAAATCCATGCAGAAGACATGGATTTTCAGTTATTTATTAAATAATTATTTCCTAAGCAACTTTCACTTTTTTCACTTTAATTAAAACCTGTACTCTTAAAATCATTGTACAAGAACTAAAATAATGCAAATCTCTGTTTCTGTTCAAATGCATAAAGTAAGATTAAGGGCATGATAGTTTAGAATAGTAAGATTTAAACTAAGCAGTACAGGGAGGTATTTAGACAGTGGCTAGATGACCTGAAGTTAGTCTAGATTATTCCATTATTGGATATTAAAATTATTTAATCCTATATCAGTTAAACAAAGAGTAATAGGAAGTAGTACTTTAAAGATACGACCATTTTATAGCCTTTCTTTACAAAAATAGTTAACATGTTCAATAGTTAGCAAGCACTGATATGACTCCGCATAGCCACTGTGTCCAGTATTTGAAATTTTACTCCATATTCCACAATGTGGTTTTTATAGACTTAGCAGCACATCTTTGTGCTTGTGTCAGTTAGTCAAAGAACTCATTCCCCAGTGAGTTTAGATGGTTTGTTCTTTTGTAACCTTTAGTTGTATCCTTAATATCCTGAATATTTGCTCTGTGTTGAATTTTCCTTCATGTTGTGCTCAGTAGATTTTGTTAACCTTCTCCAATTCATGGTATTGGTTTTGATACTGATGGCATAAGTGCCCATATAGACCTACCTGAATTTTAAGATTTTCTTTAAACATCTGTTCTGAGCAGACATTTGCCTAGTGGTTAATCCCTTAATCAAATCAAGCAACAAGTTTCACATCTATCCAGTACTGAAACGTTCAATACTCAACTGCACAGCAGTTTTGTAAGCTTTGAAATTTGCTCAGTTTTGAAAACAAATGCAACTCTGCAATACTTTGGAGAGAATGGATTAAAGTTTATGAGTTTTGGAAGAGCTCTATTAATCACAGAATATTGCAAGGACTCTGGATCTCTCTCCCGTTAACATAGCTGACGTCTTCAATGTTAGTTTTTATATTTATTACTCTTGGCAAGAAAGAAAATGGAGACAAAGAGGCAGGAGGTTAGATTAATTTGGCTGACTCATGCAAATGGATCGATGCTTAGTTTCCCCATGGAGGAGTTGCTATTAGCAACTGTGCCATAGCATCTCTTGATGCACAGTAACAATGAGGCTCAGAATGTAGCTGTCTTAAAAGGCCTCTGGATTGGGCTTATTTCTATAGGAAGAAAAATCCAAAAATAATATTTCAACCAGTAAAATTGCTTTTAATATCAATAAGAAAAATGCAATGTTTTCTAAATTAGGGGTTCTTGGTTCTTAATCCTGGTCCTTAAATTTAAATACTCAAATAGAAATATTTGCTTACTGAAAATGGTGATACAAAAATATATATTTAAAAATATTTATTAGCTGAGCACTACTATAAATATGCTACATTTTCATTATGGAATGCTGTTCCTTGTCAGTCTGTCTTTCTCAACTTGATGTTCTCCAAAATTCTGGACTTCAGCTCCCATATACTCCACCTAGGGTGGAAAGAATGAGGCAGGCTAATACATAATAAAAAATAAATTCAAAGATGCCTGGGCTATTAGTGATGCCTATAGAAATTAAAGCTACTTTTATGTTAAACTGATATAAAATTTCTGATAAATAAATGTATCACTAATGCACATTGACAATATGTTTTTAGTCTAATTATATTTGAAAGTTTAAAATAGTTAATATTACAGAATGTTCTTTAACCAGGATGGCCATCCTTAGTGTTTGGGGCTTGCTATGCAGCTATGGGGAGAGGATGATCAATATGAAGAAGCAGGAGGGGGACAGGCACATTTTGCTAAATTTCCATTTGCAGTGCTGCAGCCTCAGTGCTATTGGAATGTCTGATATTTATTAAATAGAGTTACTGAAATATATTGTACGATATGAACAGTCTTCATTGGCTGCACTTCAGCATGTGGAGAGATTGAAGCTAGTTGGTACTTTTTTTTAATGAACAGTCCATCTGTACATTCTGGCATTGGAGGCTTCTACAACTTCTCTTTAATGTTTTATAACCAGAAGGATAAAAAATAATACTCAGGACAACAGTGGAAATAATCCCCCTCTTCTTAGTCTTTTTTTTTTTTTAGGGGGTAGGCTTCGAGTCACTGTTGACTCAAGTGGTTTGCCATTGCCTTCTTCCTAGGGCTGAGAGTGTGTGACTGGTCCAAGGTCAACCAGCTGGCTTTGTGCCAAAGTCAGGACTAGAATTCATGGTCTCTGCTTTCTAGCCATGTGCCTTAATCACTACACCAAACTGGCTTTTCTTAGTCTTTTGCTAATTTTTGGATGTACTTATAGATTGCTTATCTGGTACTTTGAATAGGGTGATCACATTTCAAGTTGTTATAGGAGAACATAGTGCTGTAAATGGTAATTGTGTCCTGTTGTTCTGTCAGTGCTGTCTAGGGGAGGAAAAACAAAGGTGAAAGGAGATTCTAGTTCACTTTCAAAAGGCCTTGTTTAGAATAATCTGAGGGTGTAAGGAGAAAGTTAAGCTTGCAAATCTCTCTTGCTTGAAACTGTGAAAGGGAATATGATGTTTGTCATATCCTAATCCTTAAAAAAAGAGAGAGAAAACAGTGCAGTAAGTACATTGCTTTAAATCTTCCCACACAGAAGAACCATGCCTAATTTCTTGCACTGCTATATTGCTTTTGTTTGTAGAATATGGAAGCTTCTAATAGTTTTATTTTCCTGCAGAATTAAAAAGATACAAAGTTTTGAGAGTAGACATGTTTCATCTACATTTTTGAAGTATTCCTGTTAGATACATTTTAAAAATGTTACCTGTCTGAAAGATATATTAGCTTACCATAAAAGCTCTTTAGATACATTTCCTTCAGACACATTTGCTCTAATGTGTAAGAGGGCAGGATTTAGCAATGTGTTAATTTAATATTATTCATAGTAATTTATCCTAGTCTATTGAAATGTTAAGGTTGTCATTATCAGTTGGAAACTGCAGACCATAGATTTGTGGGAAGTTCCTTAATTTTTAAAAGATTTAAATATTCCCTAATAGATTTTGAGGATTCCACAAGCAAAGAATTTATTAAAGTTCAGAATATTGTCTTTCTCCTCCTTTTAAAAATATAAAAGACGGGCAGGTTTTTTTTCTTTGAGATTCAAAGCAGTCATCGATAACAAAAATCCAAAATGTAAGCTTGGCTATACATATATAATACATAATTATGAATTGTCTCTTTGAGGCTGCATCACAGTTTAGATTTTGTTTGTTCCATTTGTATTCATAGAAAGACCCTGGTGGAAAGGATTGCTTTGCCCGTAACAGTTCCCCCTCCCATTAAACCTGTAATTACATCAAGAATTATAATTTGCCTTTGCCTTCTGTGGGATAATGTCATTGCATGTCAAGTTGGGGATTATAAAGTAGAAGGACACCCTGCTGATGCTGTCATTTTATGTTAAATAGGAGAATCCGATTTCCTTCTTCTCATAATGATTCTCATAATGATTCAGAGGGGTATAGCATTTACTGAAGAAATTAATGCAAATATATAGATAAGTCTTTCCCATCAATTATAAGCAATAGGAAAGACAAAAAATATTTCTAAAAAATAATTAGAAGTACCAAGATTTCATCTTTTATACTCCACAGTGCAATCAAAGTATAGGCAACTAATGCTTATAAATCAGTCACCAAATTTAGCTCTCTTTTTCTGAATGAGTAGAATTTGAG